TTTATTCATTACTTTAATAAGGATATAATTCAAAAAACACTTGGATCAAGTGGCCTAAATTGCAAAAAACCTTTGTATGTAGTTTTTTTTTGACCTTATATTTTAAAAAAAACTTTTTTAATAGTGAGAGACATTTGAATTATGTTCTTACCTTTAATTTAGGGACCCATCTTTAATTGTATAATAATATAAAGTTTGATTTTATTATAATATTTTTAATACAAATGTATAAATGTTTTTTGGCAAATAAAACTAATAAACTAATAGTATATAACCTGATTTGAAGTAAAAATAAAATAAAAAAACAAAAAATAAAATCTAATACTAGTTAATAAATTAATAAAAAAACAAAAAAAAAAACAAATTATTTTAATAAAAAAAATTATTAATATCAGTATAGGACTCTAAATAAAAAATAATATTATAAAATAAATTAATATTTTTTAATTAATCAAGATTTACAAAATATTAGTATAAAAAATCCTAAAAAAAAATATTATATTTGAAATACTATTAAAAATAATAGTAAATTATAATTTATATATTAAATTTAATATAAATCTAAGAATCAAAAATCAAATTGAATCATTAAAATCCTTAGTTTTATATATTTCTTAAATAGTTATTATTTGGTTTTATAAAACTTAATTAATAAAATCTTAATTAAAAAAAGTTGTTATTATAATTTTATGGGCTCAAACAATATATATAAAATCTAATCATTATAAATTTACTACTTTTAATATTAATATAGCAGTTTATAAATAGGCATAAGCAATTAATAAATTATTTTGCTATAATATCACCTTTTTAATATAATATTATATCAAAAGTTTTATATGTAATAGACTAGTAATAGATATTTAATATAATGACAGTAAATGCATTATTTAAATAAAGTTTTGTATTTTATGCTTAAAAAATAAGTCTTAATTATTTCAAAAAATCATAAATTACATAGTGCTGTATATTTATAGGTTTTAATAGGAAAAACGTGATTATAGCGAGGTGTCAACTATTAACGAGAAACTAGTGATAATCAACTACAACCTCGTTGGTAATTATCCATAAGAAAGTCTTGTAAACGTTTTGCCATTAAAAACATGCGTAGTTATCAATTCATATCAAAATTCCATTACTGCTCTTGGTCAATATACTTATTATAAATTTACATAGTTAAAGGTTTTCTATACAACTTGTCGCTTTTTCTTTAAAACAAATTCTTCCTTTATATACAAAATGGAAGCACACGGCACTTATGGACCAATCACCGTACCTCCTAGTTTGAATTACTTCTGCGTTTATAATCCTACATTTGGTCCCACAGAAGAAACACAAAAGGATCAACTGCTTTATTACACAGCAAGGAAGACCGTTCCAATGGACGTTAAAATGCGCCAAATAGGTTTGGCTCAGGGTTTGGTAAATTTCACAAGGTTAGCTTATTCGATGTTTTAAGGTTTGTGCATTGTTGGTATATAACACGTCAGTAATGTAATATAATTTAAATAGTTTTTATGAAACTTGCATAGTAAAACGAGTCTCGAATGCTATAACGGATTTACTTTCCATTTTAATTTCATGTTAGGGTATTTTCACCAACAAAACCTTGTGAAAACGTTCATACACAAAAAAATAGGCTGATGTTTTTTGAACCTGAACCTAATTACTGGATACACATTGTAAGAAGATTTTTATTTAGTTTTATTAATTTACACGATTAATTTCTTAGTAAAATTATTGTTATTTTAAAAAATGAAGTCGATCGAACTAGGTCACGTAAAGAAAATAGTTAAAGATAAAGATGGAAAGCCAAAAACAATAACCGATTACCTTGACGCAAATTTGCATGATTCAGCAATAAAGAGAATGCTTGAAATAGGATATGAGATGTATAAGGTAAACGGTCTTATGAATCGTTCCGCACTGATTGATTCATAATGTAATTCTAAACTTTAAAGGTATATTCCTCTCTTAAACGTATAGATTTTCAATGGAACTTTTGAAATGACAGTGCAGACGGCAGGTGTGAAAGAATTAAAAAATAAATTAGAGGAATGTTTCGCGAATTGGGTCCTAGAATGGGATTTTGACAAGGCAGACATAGCAAAGACAATTGATGGTCTGTAGTTTATTATTTAAAGTTCAATTTTATTTTCACTACGAAATGCTTAATCTCCATTTTATTTTATTTTATGATAAGGCATTTTCTATCTTCCACTCTCCAGCCCAGCTCATACACAGATTGCATCTTTTGTGACACAAATTAAAGCTGAATACAGTTTTATTTCGGATGCAATTATACTATGGCAGAATAAGTTGGTAAATAGTGACAATGAGACGATAACAGAAAATGAAGTTAGGGAATTATGGAGATACTTGGTTCCTTTAATATCCGAAAGAGATTTACTCGAGAAGGAGTTTGAAAAGCGAAAGAAATCTAAGGATGGCGATAAAGTCTGTTGCTCTTATTCTACGGCATCATACTACACTTATGAACTTTTTAAAAATAAGATTTACAAAATATTTATATATTTTTAGTATTCATTTAAAGGCTTTACGCACAGTTTTTCTGGAAGTAATCTCTTCTCATACTTTTCATCCACTTCTCCAAAGGCCACTCCTAAAGTTTCACCGAGTTCATCGCCGCCTAATAATGCATATTTTTTTGGCAATTCATCAACTCCCCCTGGAACTCCTCATTCTGCCATTTTGTCGCCCTCTACTCCAACCCTTTCGTCATTACCTAGTTTTCTGATAGGCCCACAGAATCTGCAAAATGCTGGAGACATTAGACCATTCACAATTTATTTGTCTAAAAAGTCAACGGTAAACACAGACGCAAAAAGAAATATGGAAAAAATACATGGAAATTATGAAAATGATGAACATTATCTTTTGGTATATAAGGTGTGATGATAATTCTTATTAGTATTTGAGCTTCGATATTTTTCAAGGAAATGCTCATTGTTGGTAATAATTATTAGCAAAATTCCCTTACGGTTGTCTTATTGATACCGAATTCATTGGAGGGCTCTAAAAATATTAACGAGATAGAGTTTTATAGATCGGTTCATAACTATCTATCTTCACATTCTGAAGATTTGATCAAAATTGTGAACGAAGACAATGAACATTCGAAAAAACTTGGGTACACTTATATTTTCCATTATAATGTCCATTATTAATAATTATCGCATATTTTTAATTCAACATAATTTAATCTTAATTCGAAACATGAAGAACCGACATCGATAAGGAATATCGTTACTTGCTTTTCAACAAAATTTCCTTGGCTATCAAGTCTTCACTTTATCCGTTCACCACTCCTAACATACCACCAAAGGGTTTGACAATCACTAGTGAAATGGTGCATTCACTATGCGACTTGCATGAAGATCTCGAAAAGTGGGTTTCTCGTTTGTATTTATTAAATAAAACTTTATTGATCTGATGCCTTATAATTGAGCAGGTATCCGCAAATGACTGAAATATGCACTAGATCTTCAACTAATTTCTGGATTGTCGGCAAGAGATCCGAATATCAGGTCCTATATGTTGTAGTACCTAAAAAGGAAGCTAATCTTACGGAAGTTGAAGGTGATTACTACATTGAAATTCCATTCTTTACGTTGAATTTTTTTTTAAATATTGTCAATTATTTTAATCATTTTTATTATAACAGATGATGTTAGAAAATTAGCTACGCTATGCTTCTCCGGAAAACACACAGACTAGTAGTGTTTCTCATAATTAATTATAATTAAAGGTCAATAAACCTATTTAATACTTCTACAGAATAATTTCTATATCTTGATATTGAATAATTAATTATTACAATAAGAATAATTTTTTTTTTGTTCAAATCCGCGATCGAATAGTATCTTATTTGGTAGATTGTATTAGCTATGTTAAATTAACTTTGATTCTTGGAATTAAGGACATGTTTTTGGTGGCATTGCATAAAATTGATAAAGTTGTTTAATGCATTTGACAATGGTATACCAATAATTGATAGAAAATCTGCAATATACAGTATAATGTGAATTAGTAAAGCATTAATATATTTATTTTAAACGCGTTTTTTTTAAATGTAAAATTGAAACTAATGACATTAGTTTTTATTAATTTATATTTTTAACTTTTTTATTAATTTATTTATTTATTAATAAACCATTTTTTTTTTTTAATTCGGCTAGCTGGGCCATGCCTATGTGTCCATTTATTTAATTCATGTATGCTTTACCTCATGTATTACAGGAAGAAGCTACCTATGAGTTATTCTAGAAATCACTAGACTACATTGGATTTTACCCCCATGTTGGCTTGTTGCTATTGACTATAAACCTGAAGATCTATATATGTTAAGGCTAATGTGTTAAAGCTCCATCAGTACTGTTATTATATGAAAGATTCTATTTCTAACTGGGGATATGTTAAGGAGAAGTGTGAAGAGGGGAACTGGGAGTAGTATCTATTAGGCAAATAGAACTCCTGCAGAGAAAATTCTTTTAAACCTAACCACCTGCAACTAAGGATCCTAATGATTCTCTTCGATTCTATATTCGATTCTCAAGTTTATATTAAATTTAATAGGTGGGGTATA